CGCCTTGTCTGAAAAAAGAAATTATGATACGACAAATCTGGCGATTATTTTCGGCCAATATATCCGTTCTTAGTACTGAAGTTCAAGTAATTACGCACCTCCATGATAAAGGACAGCCCTCCCACTAAGCTGAAACCGCTCTGGTGTTGGTGTATTTAATTATGGCAAAGCACACTAGGGCTATCTGCCTAAGGGGCGAGATGCCTTCGTGGAGGACTTTCTAAGGTAAACTGACTCGTATTCACGTTACACATGGGGAAAACCACGAAAACGCCCATGCAGCTAGCCCGTTCGCGGGATTCGAACCTCAGACCGAACTACCAGTGTTCAGCGATTTTACCGCTGGGCCGCTAGTGGGCTGAAACCGCTCTGGACGTTAGACAGTTACTTGGAAATCCCGCGATAGTTCCAGCAAGACTTCTTCTGAAAAGTCGATTGTCATAACGGTATGATCCGATAAGACTGTTACTGGCGCTTTGCCGAAATAAACTCGAAATTTGTGTACAGCCATTAATACGGCTAATGTTTTTCTCTCTGTAGCTGTATAATTCCTTTGTGTCTGATTCAACGTTTTACTAAAAAATGCCAGAGGATGGCTATTTTGCATGAGAACCGCACCCACCGCATAGTCCGACGCATCCGCTGCAATTTCCAGGTTTTCGTCCCCCTCCGGGAATTTTAAAACAGGGGCATTGATGAGCGCTTCTTTTAATCTTTCAAATGCTGTATTTGCTTCCGCTGTCCATGTAAATTTACTTCTCTTTCTTTTGATTACTAAGAGTGGTTCAACAATATTAGCGAAATCTTTTATCAAAAGACCGATAGTAAGAATATAAACCCAAGGAAAGAAGAAAGTTTCTTGCGGTGTGGGCGGTGGAAAATTCTTGATTGGCTTTTATTTTTGAATCTTGCGTTTCTATACCTTTTGCGAAATTTTATAACCGAGATATTTAAGTTCTTTAGTTGCGAACTTGCATTTTGAGGCGTTAATTGTAAGACCCGGCCTCTTTTTAATATTTAAAAACTTCTTCTAGATCTTTAATGTGTTGTTCCAACGTACTACTCGTTATAATTATATCATCTAGATAGATTAAAGTTGATTTTCCTAGGACAGGCTTTAGAACAATGTCCATAGCTCTCTGGAATGTTGATAAGACCCCACACAACCCAAAGGCATGCGTCAAAATGCATAAGTGCCCGATTTTGTTATAAACGCGGTTTTTATGTATGTCTTCGGGTCTCATAGCTATTTGATAGTCCAGACGTTAAGTCCAAAGTAACATGTATCTTGTAGATTTGATCTTTCTAATAATTTCCTCTATAGCGGCAAAGGGTAAACTGGGAATTTAGTAATACTATTTAGTTTTCTGTAATCGATAGCAACCTCCAAGCCCTTTTATCCGAAGGAGGAAACTCGTTTTTTTCCTACATATTACGACTGGACTCGCGTACTCACTATTTATGGGCCGTTATTATTTTATCTTTAACATCTCTGAATATGTTCTTCGATGATTACGTCTTTTTGTTTGTCATAACGGTATGGTTTAGTCCTACAAGGTTTTTCGGCATTTAATTGTATCTGATGCGTAGCTATTTGACAACTACCAGGCTTTTCTGAAAACAAGTTAGAAAAATTACTCACCACTTGCTGGATGGCTTGACTTTCATGGTCATTCAGATGGCTAAGGTCCACTTGTGGTTGTTCCACAGGTTCCACCACCCTCTGGTCCATCTCCAGCACAACTGAACTGTCTTGAAAATTCAATTTGGCCCTCGCAGCCCTTAAAAACTCCATACCTAAAATAAGAGGATTTTGCAGATTCTTCACTACAAAAATTAATACTTTGAGGCTTTCCTCTTTTACCTGTATGTTTAATGATAATTTCCCGATGCAGTGACAGGTTTTTCCTTGCGCCGCTATAATTTCCGTATTTTTGGTTTTAAATAATCGTACCCTATAAAAATTCTTTTTGGAATGTTTCGCTCATAAAATTTCCTTCTGCTCCTTTATCGATGAGGGCTTCTACTGGTACATCGCCAACCAGGACTTGTATAATTGGTAGATGTGAGTTTTTTTACGATGACCATATTTAAATGTCTTTTTGAGGGTTTTTTTTAAAACTTCCGGGGTCTGGACCCTCGCTTTCACAGGCCCCTCTACTCGTTTAAAGGTTTCCTTTCAAGTTTTACCTTCTGGGTACGCGGATGTTTATTTTCGAATTTTCTTTTTGGGCCTTGACCTTCGAGGTTCGATGAGTTAGGTTGATAGCTCTTTCCCCCATAAAAGCGGTTTGCATTTCTGGTTTCCTCATTTGAAGATTTCCTTCGGGTACTTTGAGAATACGTTGCCCCTCTAGCTTTTTCCGCTATTCTGCGATTTTGAAACTTCACCGCCAATTCGAAGACTCCTGCAATGTGCTTGGGTTTCTAATTCGAATAGTCTTGAACAGCGGGTAAAATCTTGGTAAAATTATTTCAAATCACTATGGGGAGGCCTTTACCACTGACCCCCAAACCCCAAACAACCCCCCCCCCACCCCCCCCCCCCCCCCCCCCCCCCCCCCGCCCCCCCCCCCCCCCCCCCCCCCCCACCCCCCCCCCCCCCCCCCCCCCCCCCCCCCCCCCCCCCCCCCCCTCCCCCCCCCCCCCCCCCCCCCCCCAACCCCCCTATACTTCCCACCACCCCCGGCCTGTCCCCTTCCTTCCGCTAATCTCCGAGTTTGGTACTTCCCATGGCTTGCGTTATTTATTCTTTAATTTTCGCAAATAAAGTCCGTCAACTCTTCTATATCCCGTGATAGAAACTATATAGTTCGGCTTCCAGCCTTGCTCGATTCTTTCACTATGGGGAAGGCCTTTACTAACGATTTTTTGAAATTTTCAAATGTATATGTTGGCTTCAAATTCCCCTAATAAAATTTGCCTATATTCTTCCACCATAGCGCGGCCTGTCCTCTTAGTGCAGTGGCGATGGCAACTTTTGTCTTTCAGGCACAGGTAGAGCTGAAAGTGATTTTCTAGGCCTTCTAGAAATATCGCCACGAATTTTTTCGTCGAAATGACGTTTGGCTTGATTGACGCTCTCAAGTCTGGACCAGGTATCCAAATCTTCCAATTGGCTTGCATTTCTTGGTGTTGTCCCGCGGCTTCCATCCGATTTCGGCCATTCAGTTCGATAAGAGTTCTGGCGCCAATGTCGAGTTGCGCGCCTCCAACTTGCACGCAACCAAGAGGTGACTGTTGAAACTGGAAAATAGACAGAGTCTTGCTAAGGGTTTAAGTCCCTTTTTATTCAACTTTAAGAAATTACAATTGCTTTATTTTGTATTTCCTTTAAAAATGTTTGTTTAACGCTGACTTTTCGTGATAGTTATTTTTTTTTCATCTTTCCGTAATAAAAATAAACTTAACTTCGTTTTAGACAGAGTCCAATTTATCCGCAGCCAATATACGCAGCAGTAGAAGATTTATAGGTAAATAAAATGTATTGCGTTGCGGGTAGCATATTTCACAAGTGCACATCTGTGTAGCCACCAAGGGGAGTGTCTTCTATGATAGACCAATCGGCATGCAGTAATATTTCTGTCATGTCATAGGCCTTTCTCGTGCTATAATATTTAAGCAAGATGTTTGAAAATATTTTGAAACGCAATTTTCTGTACAAAATAATTAAAGCATCGTCCATTTCTTCTGAAAATGTTCATTGCTAAGTTAGATCAAATATAAGCAACTGTGAAGATTTCACTACCTGGTTGAAAGGATCTGAAGTAAATAAAAACACATGTTGGGTACTCCGCAAAAATATCCATGTGAAATATCATTTGATTAGTGGTAAATAATAATAAGAAAGCAATATGTGATAAATATCCGAGCCCAAATGCTATCTTTAGATAAATCTATGCATATTAGAAAAATATTTACACCAATTATATATGTAATAGAAGCCAGCACTTTTTATTGCAGTCTATATGAAAAAGATGTTCTATAACAATAGACAATGCAGAATTTTATTCAAAGTGAACTGTACTAATTTGCATTCGTATTTAGTGTGTTAAATTTCACATTTAATAACTGCTCACTCTTAAATGTACTGTCTTCTCCAGAAATACTCATCAAATAGAATGAATTTATCTTATTCACAACGAATATATTCAACTTATTAACATATACTTTTAATGTTAAATGGATATAATCAAATCACACCGATATGTATTTTGAATCTTACACTTTAAAAATCAAAGGATGCAAGCACTGAAATAAGAAAACACTAGATTCATTGTAACCTTTTTCGTCCTTCTCAGCTCAATTTAAAACTATACACGAATTCTGTTAATCCACAGTGTTACTAATGCATAATATTCGAGTCAATTATGCTAGGCATTTTCTCGAGTAAAGAGCAATAATATGCCGTGAACATCAATCTAAATATTAATGCGAGATAAAATCGCGAAAGCGAAATGTCAGCGATTAATTAAACTCCTAAAACGAAAGCACACGAGATTTTTTACTATTACGCCATATATTTTTAACTACGAAACAAATGCAAGTTTAAACGAAAACAACATGCGCGAAGATTTAGTGTCACAAGAATAATAGAAGTTCATTGGTCCATTTGCGAAACCCCTCCCCCAGTGGCTACGCTGATGTGCACTTGTGAAATATGCTTACCGGTAACCCAAGAATGAAAACCCTCCACAAAAAACAACCGTAAAACGTTCTAAAATGGGATTTCGCAAGAACGCTCTTTTGTCAAACACTGCAGCCTAGGATAGGTTAGAGAAGTGAATTGAGCTAATGAACGGCTTAAGCACCCATCATTTTTTTCATTTAATTTGACGCTTGTTATCTGGAATAACTTCCCGGCTTAAAAATAAAACAAAATAGATGTTTAAATAATTAAGTTTGGCAGTGATCTTAGCAAATACGTTTGTTTACTAATACAGCTATACTTTGTATAAGAATTAATGGAAAAATAATAGAACAGACATTTTACTTTACAGTCCAGTGCAAGAAAGGGGAAGAATACCAAACCTGTGGCTCACCTTGTGAAAGAACCTGTGCAAATTACCGTTTTCGAATTGGTATTAAATGTCCCAAACCTTGTGAACCGGGATGTTACTGCAAAGATGATTTAGTCCGAGATTCGAATGGAGAATGTGTCGAAACCGAAGAATGTGGCAAAGGTAAATCTTAATTCTATTTGTTTTATATTCATACATTCTTTTTTTTTACTTCAGTATTATAATGGTTTGTTCTTTGCCAGAAATTTGCGAAAAAATGACTTATATAAAGAATGCCGTACAGCTTGTCCTGAAAACTGCACTAATAGGAATCCAATATGCACTGAAGAATGCGTGGAAGGCTGCTTTTGTGCAGAACGATTTGCGAGATCCAAAAATGGCACCTGCGTACCACTGAGTCAATGACCCCCTGTTAATTGCACTTAAAGAACATGAACGATATTTTATATAGAACTCTGAAAATAGATTGTTGTCAGAAATAAGCATACTTAAACATTCTTCGGAAGTTCAAAACAAATTTATTAAATTGCTTCTTGTCAGTTCAATTTTTACTGTAAAAAAATTAACTAGCATTCAATTTCTACTTCTTTTCTTTACAATCCCGCTTTCGCCCAATTCTAAGAAGGTTTAATTAAATAATCATAGAATTATGTAAAATGGTTGTTGATATTGATGGTAAACAGCGAGCATTTGTTGTAAATGATCCCCATTAACTTATAAGCTTTGCATTATTTTCCCTACAGGCTCACCATACTTTCCAAGTGCACTGCACTTGTTCAAGTGTAGAGCTTTGAAAACAAGTACTTCCAGGTTTTAATTATAGCATAACTATTTCGAGAATCCTAAAAAACATTAGTCCTAAACTATTCGCCTTGATTACTACTTCACAATAAGTTGTCCAACTCCGAAGAGTCTTAAAAAGTGTCAGACGTTTAATAATAATTATTTTTGATAATACAGTGAAAATCCTTTAATACGAAAATGGGGGGACTGAATTAGTTTTTGTGTTAAAATAATTTCGTGTAAAAAGTTACTTCTCCTCCAAAAGCATATATTCAACAAAATTAAACTTATCAAAGTACGCCTTTGCGGCTGATGTTTTTCGTATTTTGTTTATTTCCAAAAGGGAAATCTTTTCGTGTTAAGAGGAAAGCAAATTCATGAAAATGTTTATTATAATAGTTTGTCAATATTATAGTTAATATTATTTTATATATATCAATATTATAGTAGTTTGTCTGAACCATTGTATTATTTCGTGTTAACCGATATTTCGTCTTAAGCGTTTTCGCGTTAAACGTATTTCACTGTATACGTAGTAGTTACTTACATTTCTATGATGTATTTGACTAAGAAACTTGGTTAATCTTTGGATTATGGTAACTTGGCGATTTTTCGGCGAAAATTTGGCGACCAACCCTGCTATAGCAACCTGCTAGTTTTTGTTTGGACGCCATTTTGTTTTCATAAAGTAAATGCAATTTTTTTTTTTTTTTTTTACTCAACATTTTTTTCCAACAATCTGCTTGCCGAATTACGCTTATGCTAGAACTTTTATGAAGCAAAAGTGCTTAATTATGACGAAGTTTTGGTGCGAAATTGGGAGAAAGTGCAGAATCGTAAACTGCTTGCGCGTTTTTAGGAACTGCACATACACGGTATCATCCATGTACAGCCCACCAGCGGCCGAGCGGTAAAGTCGCTGAACACTGGTAGTTCGGTCCGAGGTTCGAATCCCGCGAACGGGCTGGCTGCATGGGCGTTTTCGTGGTTTTCCCCATGTGTAACGTGTATATGAGCCAGTTTCCCTTAGAAAGTCCTCCACAAACATCCCTTCCCTTACGCAGATAGCCCTCGACGCTTTGCCATAATCACACACACACACACACACACATCCATGTACACGTCGACCTATTTTCACCTAAAAAAACATCCCAGAATTGCACAAAATTGGCATGACTGACTGATAACTTATAGCCAGAATACCACTGAGATCAGTAGTTTATCTGGCTCAATCAAATTTATGCCGGATGGACACAATAACATAGAACTATCTTCACATAATGTCCGCAGTAAGGAGGAGAAAGACGGATAAAGAATAGGAAGACCAGCAACGCAAGAGCTTACTAGCAAGTAACCGGCCCGGTAAAGGCGTGACTAAGTGGGAGTCATAAAATGAGTGTAGAATGTGAAGAAAACTAATGAATTTAAGAAATACACAGTACAATAAATGAGTAGAATACAAAATTAAGAATGCTAATAAACCCACATTGGGTACATTATTTACAGGTGGGCACTAGGTGGGAAAGTTCGGGTCCCTGATAAGGTGGGCCGCAAGTGGGCGCAGTTTTTGGCGTCCTCATTCAGTATTTCGTAGGTAAAGATATCAAAATTTCACTGGTCACAGTTCACTTTCGTGAAGAATTTCCTGTTGATCTTATTCAGGTGCTCTTCTAGAGTGTCCAGTTTTAAGTCACAGTGCAGTGTAGCATTGCTCACAAAAAAGTGAGGCATGGGTGATAAGCCTTAAGACTTTGTTTTGCATGATTTGAAGTCTTTTTATATCCTCCTTGGTAGCCGTGCACCAGGCCGGCAAACGCATAAGTCATCAATGGCCTAATTGCCGTGATATAAACTAACCTCTTTTTCCTGAGGTCTAAGCTAGAAATAATTACCCCCAATATAGGGATGAGACTATTTACAACAGTGAAAATTTTTCTTCTGACCTCTGTTATATGATCTCCCCATTTTAATTTTTCATTTAGCATTACTCCTAAATATTTCGCCTTACTAACTCTAGGAATCTCTTCAGAGAATAAGAAGAGCTTGCTATTAATAGTCAACTGTGTATTTTTTCCTCCTTATCAATAATAATTGCGACTTGCTGGCATTAATTGCAATTCTCCAAGTCGTACACCACTTTTCTACCACCACTGGTAGAAGCTCCTGTAATTTCTTTGATTGCATGGTGTGCGTTTGCGGACTTACGGCTAATGCCGTATCGTCCGCATAGCACCCAAGCAAGTAATTTCCGCCAATGTGAGCCCTAGGGAAGTCATGAACATAAAATAAATATAGGACGGGCCCTAAAATGGACCCCTGTGGGACGCCTGCATTCATGGTGCGTAAACTGGAGATGTCCTTTCCAATAGCCAGAGTGAATTTCCTATTAGTGATGAAAGACATAATTAGCTGAATCAGCTCTCTATCCATAGGGAGATTTATAAGTTTATAAATAAGCCCCTCATGCCAGACGCGGTCGAATGCCTTCGCCACGTCTAGCATGAGTAAGGCGACATTTTGTTTTTTGTGAAGCGCATCCCCACAAAACTCGACGAGCCGAACCAGCTGCTTTGTTGTTGAAAGCTTTCTCCGGAAACCAAATTGTTCCGGAGGCAGTAATTCAATATAGTTTTTCAATCTGCTGTAGATTAATCTCTCAAAGACCTTTCCTAATCCCGGAAGCAAGCTAATGGGCCTGTACCCATCTGGCTTAGTGTTATCCTTGCCAGTCTTAGGCAATAAAATAACTTTTGCGATTTTCCATTTTGTGGGAAAATAGCATTGACTAAGACACGCATTGATAATACTCGTGAATTTTGTCACGACATTGCAGGGCAGATTTCTAAGTGCGTGATTATTAATACCGTCTATGCCAGGGGCCTTTTTGACTTTAAGCTTCTTTGTGATTTCTTTGATCTCACTGGGGGTAGCAGTGGCCATGTACCTCTTAGCAGTGTGGGCATTAAGCCAATCCCTAACAAAGTAGCATGCCTCATTGACAAAATTAATGTCAATGGGCGTCATGTTAGGTCTGAACTGCTCTTCTAAATGGTCCGCAAGGACCGTCGATTTGTCTTTATTATTGAGAGCAACAGAGTTTTCAGTATAAATCGGCTTATTGCATGTACGCTGCCTTTTCAAGTTACGCATGAATGTCCAGAGGGTGCCGTCATTCGGACTAAGATTCTGAATTTTTTCCTCCCATACATCTCTCTTATGCTCTCTATTTTCTTTTTAATTAATTTATTTAATTTGTTCATATCTCTTTATAACGTGAGGGCTCCATGTAAGGTGCCACGCTTTCCTCATCCTATTCCGGATCCTTAATAATCTCTCTAATTTCCTGTGGCAGAATGCCAGTGTTATTATTTCTTCTCACGTGTCTAGATGCATTTTCAATAGCATTATTGATTGAATCAGTGAGGGTATCAACCGCAGCATCTATATCTTTCCGCGAGTTCAGAGTATCGAAGGTGGGCAGATTCTGACTGAGAAACTTCTGGAACTTATTCCAGTCAGTCGTGGAAATCCCTTCATTTTCGGCGCTCTTAAGAGTGTCTAGGAAACCAATGACCGGTATATGGTCAGAGCGTAATTCATGCTTTACTTCAGTATAAATAGCGATTGAAGTATTTGTCAGAAGAATATCAAGAAGGTCTACATTTCTTGGGTTCTGGGTTCTATACGGTATACTTCCTCAGTAACATGGCAAGGGCAACTGGGTGATTGTTTATAAATTCATAGAGGACCTTACCATTTTGGTTAGTTTTACGGCATAACCCAATCGGAGTGCTTTGCGTTGAGATCACCCATTAGGATTACTTATTATTGTCACAGAGAAGTTTGGAAAGAACACTTTCCGTCAGTAGTTTCCTGGGTGGATTATAACATGCAAATGAAATTCAAATTACCATATTGCGGTAAGTACACTGAGACTGCGACCATCTCATGTCCGTCGTTTTCTATCTTGGCTAATCAAACAGGACTGTAGTGAGTTTCGCACATAATTGGGCGGCCCCCCACCACGGTGACTCAACGATCGCACCTATATGTGCGGTAATTAGGCAAATTTATACGCACGCAGGGCGTGGCAAAAGTCTCTGTTACAAGGGCAATATCAATATTGTGATTGTTAAGGAAGTTTAAAAATTCCGTCAACTTGTTCTGAATGGCATGAGCATTCCAGAATGCTAATTTTATGGGATCTCCTTGTGTGGTGTACCTATCCATTAAGATCTTTATTTATGGTAGTTTTGGTCCTTATAGTAGGTGCATTTTGTCCTATTTGCTGTGTTAAAAGAAAGCCGGAGCTCTTAATGACCGATACAAGCTCGGCCAGGTGTGCAAAAACAGTTTTTGCTTCCTTGATCGTGTTATCATACAAGCCAGTAAACAGGGCTTGTGCAAATGATTTATTTTCTATAACCCTACTAGTATAGACTTTTGGCTTATCCTGTTTCTTTTTAGGGAACATCTCACAACCCCTAAAGTTCGAGATGTGAGATTGTTTACAGTTGCACAACATGGTGGCAAGTCAGAGTTTTTATTAGGGCATTCAAAGGACAAATGTCCCTCTCCGCATCTCACGCACTTGGGTGCATAGTTACAGCCAGTTTGCGTATGATGAAATCCTTGGCACCTATAGCATTGTAGCGTGCCCGATCTACCTAGGTCACATAGTGAGTTTCGTTGTGTATATCTTTGGATTTGGGTTTCTTCGCCCAGTCGGGCACGTGACCTCATCTGGATAACTGAGTGGTCGCGCTGCGTTTTCGGTTCCAGACCTACTCGCTGCCGCCTGTTTCTCAGTTCCTTCACGAGATGGCGCCACATTATTGTGGCTGCTGACGGCAAACTCAGAACTCAATGTTTGTGTAATTTTACTACCTATGTCCTGACTAGGCGAGATTTTTAAACTTTTGGGAGCCTTCGGTTTGGGATTTCGTTTCAAGCTAACATCACCTTCATGTCTGGTACTGTGCTTGTACTGTTCGACAGTAAGTGCGGAGTCATCATCAGCTATGTTCGCAAGAACATCAAATTTGTTTTGCACCTCAGGAGGGTCCGATTCAGTATCGCTCAGAGTAAGTTTCGTACTTTTGGTAACAGCAGTCCAATGCATATCGTGTTGGGAGACATCAGCATGACGGGAATCAATTTCATTAGACGCTAACCGGTTAGAAACGACTTGCGCTAAGCCTAGTTCAGAGCCACGTGCAGAGTTCAGACTTGCTCGTACTTTATCCGATAGGTTAGGGAGAAGATTTAATAGAAAATCCAGATCAATTCTTTCATCCTCAGTCAAAGGTAAATCCTTCTCTTTAGAAGTTAATTCCGCATATCAAGCGAAGATTAGTTTGATCAGTGACATGTTGATCAAGTCCTTAAACCAGTTCAGTCATCAGGGAAAAATGGATGCAACGAATCAGTAAAATCGCACTAAGGCCTTTTTACTACTCTTTAGTCACTTAAGACCGGCGAGCAACCTTTTATGTATTAACAACTGATCGTAGAAGAAAAATCAAATTGACTTGGTTCTAAGACAACCTTCACGTGCGACTGATGTACGCGAGGAGAAGCTAATGCCAAAATTGGCATTGCGCACACTCTTGACTTTATCCATGTACACTGCTAAAGTCCTAGCTAGTAACCTTTATCGCCTTACCAAAATGTCGCCAAACTACCTGTTACCATATTCCAAAGATTAGCCAGAAACTTTATTCAAATCCCTGATAATGTTGTTTAATGCAATAGCTTAAAATCAAATATTGATATCATTTCGTATTTTAATTACTATGTGCTCTATGTCGTTCACTTTCTATGGGATTTTAATTTAAAATTTATCAGAAACAGAATCATTAATCATTTACCACAATTTTTTCGGAAAATCTTTACCTCGAATCTTTTTTCTCTTCTCGCAATATCTGAGGTATTAGGATTCCATTATATTTAAAAAAATTCTTCTCGCCTGCCTTCTTGATGTAATTGTCTGCGTATCAGTGCTCTATATTGAAAACATGAGTTTAATTTGTCGGGAGTGGGTGGTGAAATACTTAAGTACTTTTGCCGCAAAGATCCTAATATTTTTACAATATGAAATTTGTGTGTTAAAAAGAATATTGTATTCACAATAGAACCTTAAAGTTCGTTTATTTATTTATGTTCAAAATTTAATAACTACTTTAAATCACCATAATAATTTTCATACTGAAAAATTTGTATACTAAGAAGAATATTTGACTCACAATAGAATTTTGCAAATCGTTTATTTGTTTACATTGAGAATTTAATGCTTGATTTTAAATTGCTATAGTAAATTTCATATTGCGAAATGCCGACCAGTGGCTGAGCGGCAAAATAGGAACTCTGGCGAATAGGTTGGCTCCATGGGAGATTTTGTGGTTTCTTCATGTGCTACGTGAAGTCAGAAATAACCGATCGGGAAGTTCGACTCTTAATTGAGGCTGCGTTGCAGTACAAAAGCAAATAGATTTCCCTGCTTTTACCATGGAATTTTTTCTTTATATAATTTCACAGCTGAGCGGGAAATAAGCATGTATTACCTTCACGTTATTTGAAATGTGGCAAATACTTAATTAGCAACGACCTCTCTTCATTTCTAACATTAATGGCCGAAATTTTCCAAGCAAAATTCTATGTTCCACACAACACTGTCATGTTTCACTTCCCGACGACTAACTGCATTCTCGTCTTATTTGCCATCAGCAGCCATGAATAAAATTATCTTCGTTACCGTTTATCTCCAAGAGCTGTTCTCTAGAAAATTCAATTAGATTTTTTTGTGAAGTTCTGACATCAGCATCCTGGGCTTTGCGGCAATCACGGTCAGTTTTTATATTTAATGTTCAAATGCCAGTTTTCGGTTCATAGCTGGCACGAACATCTACATTGTCTATCATTTAGTCGGAACATGCTAAAATTTTGCTATTATTTTCACGTAGGCATATGTTTATTTTTCGTCATTTTCGTAGTCGAGAGAAAATTTCTAGTTTTCGGAGCTACCGTACTCTAAAGTTATTCATGCTACGCTGATTCCTGTTGGTCATTATAAGTTGCTCTGTCATTTAGTTCTCTGCATGATCTTTTGAGGCACTTATGTAATCCAAATTTATTCTTTTAGATGTTTTCCGTATTTTGTGAGGATCACGTTTTGGTCAGTTACTTATCACTTGCCTATTTGATGCTGAAATAAAATGCTTAATTTCATTCAGTATTGGATTGGATTTTTAAATTCAGTTCATGATTTTCTATCACATAAAATAAAAATTAAGTTCTAGTTTAGGGGCATTATACACTACCAAAATGTAACACTCCGGGCATAACGTACCTTCTACAGTTATAAATTCAAATATGAGAACGTTATATAAATGCTTTTAACTCTTTATAATTATTACGTATATTAACTATTCTTATGTATTTATATATGTGACAGAAAAAAAAAAAGACTTTTATAGTTGTTGTAATTGCTTTGAAATCTTTTTTCTTTTAAAGCTGATGGTAAAAACGGTTTGCAATCGTTGCAAAGAAATGGAAAATATGATTTTTGATGCAATGATTGGAAAAAAAAATTATTAGTTTCTCCTTTCTAAACATATGTATTACTTAACTTAGGTCCAACTACGTAGTACCAAATATCCTTCTTAACCTTCTGAGATATGGCCCTGAAAATTTATTCACTTTATACTGATCCCTGTTGTTTATAATTGTTTATAATCAAGTGCTTTAACTTTTATGTATATCTAGTTCAACACAAAGGCACGGGCTTCCACTTAATGGCATATCCTCTATACCCCTATTAGCATTACTGCTGCCCTTGCCGAAGTACGTCTGAAAATTAACGCTGTCACAATGATGTTAAATGTCATAAGTCTTATGAACCAGGATGTTTCTGCAGAGACCGATATGTCTGAGATTTTAATGGAAATTCATGGGATCTCAAAGAATGAGACATATATGTTTTTGTTTTTCTGTTTACAAATTTAATTTCATGTGCAACTTATATAGTAAGATTATTTTCTTTCTAGAACTGTGTGGAGAAAATGAATTTTACAACGAATGTGGTACTGCATGTCAATCAACGTGCGCAGACAGGAATCCACCGTGCAATAAAATGTGCGCTAGGGGCTGTTTTTGCGAAAAGAGCTTTGTGAGGGCGGAGAAGGATGGCCCATGTGTACCTGTAGATCAATGCCCGGAAGGTAAGTCTAGAGGCAGCTAGAAATTTAGAAATTTTTAAACAAATGTAATCAGTAATTTGCAGTTCATCCCAAATGCTTACCAGAAAATTTTAATAACATACATCAATAAAAAAATGCTAAGAATCTGATATTGCTTGCATTTATTTGAATAGAAACAAAATCCTGATCTCTGTTTTCACTTTCCTTTAATTAGGAGAAGCTACGCAGGACAAAGAAGAAACAAATAACACTCAAACGCAGGGATACCGTTCTCGTGAAATTCAGTCTTGGAGTGACGAATACTATTCATCGGAATGTTCTGAAAGTTCTTTTGCGCAAGGTAATATGAAACGCTATGGGTAAGCAGGAAGACGTTTTCAAAAAAGTGATTAGAGTCTTCGTTTTTTAAAACCTTTAGAGAAAACAAACGTGTTTTTCATACCAATAATACTTATTTTTTATATATCTTCTAAAGAATTAATAAAGAAATTACTTTCATGCGATTTTAAGATTTGCTGGGTAGCAAGTTAGTTCACTATACTGAAGACCAGGGTTTGATTCCTGGCGAATCCTGAAAAATGGACTGGCTGTAGGGGGTTTTGAGGTATTACCTATGTATAAAATGATTATCAGCCAGTTCCTCTTAGGAATTTCTCCATGAAGACATACTTTTCCATAGACAATTAACTTTAAAGGAAAGGATGCCATAATCTAATTATCCAATCTGATTCTTGACAAGCTTACAGAGAACATTTATAATATTATTTTTTGCAAAAATGGTGATACTTCTAGAATATGAATGTTTTGTTCCAAGAAGCACTTTTACAAAGTGGAATTTTAATTTCATTTATATAGGTTTTTCTCCATTTTTAGAGATTAATACTGGATTTTTAAATCAATGCAATGCCTTATTAATCGCATCTGTTTGAATTTAGCCGTGAGAAGTAGTTTTCTGAATTCATGGTTGATCAGGGATTAATTTTTATTGAAATTTCAGTTTCATTGGCAATGATTGGGAAAAACATAATTATCAGATGGTTTAACTTCTTTTTTGATAACATGAAGTTCCTTTAGTAAATCATTTTATCTTAGGAATGATAATTTTATACAATGTGTTATTTCGTTAAAAATATAATAATTATATTACAAAAGTCTATATAAAATGTGTCGAAAGTTTTGTCAAACCTGCACACTATGAAAAATAATTACTTATTTAAAATTTTAATAAGTTGAATATTTGGTTATTTAAATGTGGTTTTATCTTCACTGTATTGAGTCATAAAATATATGACTTACATGGAAGGTGAGTTCTGAAGGCAGATTTTGTTTTCCTCCCGTTTCTTTGTTTATAATTCCTGTTCTTAAGCAAAGGCGATTTATCCATGATGCAAAACGTACATTTTGCAATTGACTGTAAGTTTTTGAGGAGCAAATTGCCTTAAACAAAGCTTATAAGACAAAAGTTCTAAATTAAACATCAGGTCGAGCTACTATTCTACAGCTAAAATTTGAAATTACTTATCATCAGCGCAATTACTTAACTATGTAAGGCTTTTAACCAATGTAACAGGAACTGGTGCTTAACGATACAGTGGCAACATGCCTCATGTTTTTATATTTGCATAACTTTCAGAGTGGTCTAAAGGTAGGATACGATTTAAAATCTAACTCTTAGTAAAATTTTAATTATTATAAGGATATATTAATGAAAAATTACATTGCTAATATATGCATTCATTATCGTAGAAATTTGCACGTAAAGCAATAATTCTCGAATCAATAACGAAACTTGACACGAAAGTACGTGTCAGGCAGATAACAAATGATTAGAAATACAATGTGATTACACCTTGCTACCAAAAGGTGTTAAACTTCGTTGTCCTGCCTCATGAAAAGGTATGTAGAGTCATTTTGCTTACACATAATCTGCCGTCGAAGACAATATGGTAAGTTATAAGCGTTTGAGAGGGGAAAATGAGCGACACGGTTATGGTTTTATTAGATTACGGAAAAGCACTCGAAGGCTATCTGCCTTAAGGAAGGGATGCCTCCATGGAGGACTTTCTAAGGAAAACTGGCTCGTATACACGTTACACAGTTGGAAAACCACGAAAACGCCCGAACCTCGGACCGAACTACCAGTTTCAGCGACGTTTCCACTCGGCCGCTGGTGGGCCGAATGAGCGCCACGACGTTGGATCACTGTCATTAGGTGCTGCCAATGACACTCGCCCACTTCCGCCTCCGTCTGCAATGGTAGGGCATTCGATGAGATTAGACCGCAACCGAATGGAGCCATGTCATGTTCCTCGACTAATTGAGATTGAATTCGATGTGCAATGATGACATTCGATGTGCAATGATGACATTCGATGTGCAATGATGACATTCGATGTGCAATGATGACAACGTGTACGTATGCGGAGGTCTCATGATCAACGCGACAGTTTTGCCTTCGCTTTATAGCGGCACACCAATCTCAAAACTTATGTGATGGTATGAGATAGCGTCGCATATGATACCTGGTCACTTTAGTTACAGCACTATGATAGGCCTGAGTATGTTCGAAACATTCAGTCACATGTGCTTTCACTTATAACATTGCTCCAAAGACACATTTTTGACAACATGACAGAACTCGGCCACACGTAGCCAGGGTGTCATATGAATGCCTTCATCACATTCCCAATTGCCAAATATCCAGATTTGTCAATATATGAAAACTGTGTTCCTCAGTACCGGCCTGTATCGCATCGTGTATTCACGCTACAGGTGGCCCAAGAATCTCTATATAAGTTTTCTTGTAATCAATGGTTCTTTTGCTTAGATTTTGTAATCATTACTTATTATAAAAGCTTCATGCGAAAATAGTTTGTTGCAATAAATGTATATCTAAGTAATGTAAAATTTTAAGTAATGCAATGTAAAAATTCAAGTAATGGAATGTAAAAATTCAAGTAATGCAATGTAAAAATTCAAAATACTACATTATAAAATTTCAGCGCTGCATGGCAATTGTAATAAGACATGATAAATATTTGCATACTAAAGTGTGTTAAGCTTTGAAAACTTCTTGTTCAATAGATAACAATGGGCCAAATGAGAATTAGACCGCGCTTGCGAAGTAAGGATTTACTATAGAGATGCACTCTGCGTTGTTCCCACAGATTTTGTCATCGAGTAGAATGTTTTCAGCGTGTATCTTGTGAAATCAGAAGAGTCACATAGTACATAATATAAAATATTATAACTAATTATAGTCAAAATTAATAGCTAATAACGTAGTTCTGAAGTTTTTGTTTAAACATGAAATTTTAGTTCTCTTTGTTCTAAGTTTATTCTTTTCTTAATATCATGTTGATTAGAAAGTAATGCAGGATTAAGACAGAAAATTTTAAATGTGAAATATTGTAAATTTAATCAATAATATAATATCCATTAGTTTCAATGACTTCTGTCCATCTTTCAAGCAACTCTTTTTGAAGGATTCTTTAGATATTGCAGTAAACTTTATTCACTCATTTTCTTCTGGTCTTCTTGTTTATTGTGATAGGCCTTGACAACACGAAATACTGCATTGATTTAAACTGGTAGAAACTGGGCAGAGCAACAGCTAAATGTTTAGACAGGTAAGGGGGGATTTCCCATTATTAAGCCTTTGTTGAGTGCAGTGGCGGCTCGTGGCTAAAATTACTGGGGATGCTGTTCCAAAAAAATTTTAACCTTTGTTTTAAAATTGTCTAAAAGGAAATAAACATGTATAAAAATAAAATTTATTTTGAAACTTCATGAAATCTTACGAGAAAAAAATTAAACATTTCTTAATTACTTTAACCAAAATTGTTACAGTTCAATCTTTGCCTATTCATTTAAAAATAAAAATCCAGTCTTCTTGTTTTAATTTATACGAAAAGATCAATAATTTTCTCCTTGATCTCTGGATGACAACTGAGGAAATTTTTCTTTATTGAAATCAATGCAAGCGCATTTAGTCTTTCCGAATTCCTAGTGCTTCTTAAAAAAGTTTTCATTCTTTTAAATGTTGAAAAGCAGCGTTCTGCCTCTGATGTAGTCATGGGAACTCTCAAGAGAATTTTTATCTGTTTCGTAATTTCACTAAGAACATCATCTAGATTATTTTCGAAGATAAATTTCAGTAGCTCAATCAATTTGCAGTATTCATGGATATCAGACCTACAATAGAATAGTTTTAGTTCAGTTTCAAGCTTTTCTTTGTCAATCATTAAAAATGCTTCAGTGGTCAGTACTATTTCTTCTGTAGAATGGTCATTCCTAAAACTAGCGAAGCATTTCTTGTTTAACAATTTAGCAGCTGCTAAGTGTTTGGTGGAAGAATACTTGTGCATTATATCAATACATAGTATAAAGTCAGATATTTCCTTAGCTTCTGCCATCAGTATCTTTGAAAAATTCTTACAGTACTTTGAGTTTCTTAATTCTAAAATAACAGTTTTGAAATTTGTTATATATTCGTTAACTTTAAACAACACACTAATTTCTCTGGATTGCATTTAGTTGTATATTATTTCAACATAATGCATCTGATAAAAAAGCTCTAACCAAAACTTGAAATTATTATCATATTATATTTTTTTTTAAATTCCTGTTGCTTTTGCAATAGTTTGATCTGCGTTTGATGTTTATTGAATTTCAGTAAGGCAATTTTTTAAAGGTTGCAAATTTTCATGAACTCTGTTTATGGTTCGTATGATGAAGTTCCACCTTGTGGAGGAATGCCACACGCGCAGAGTAAAAAGAAATCGAGTTTCCAAAATCATGCCAGAATTTCGGCACTGCAAGAGCGACAGTGCTCTTCTCGCTACCCGGCTCGCGTGCTGCTTTCTGTGCGCGCATGCGCAGAACAGCCAAGCACCCACGTCGCTGGAACTCTGAAGCGCGCAGTTCCAAACAAACAATTTCGTACCTTTTCACAAAGTAGGGGATGGCAACTGACATTAAGCTTAAGGATTATGTATTGTAAAAGTATAAAGAAAGAATTAAAGACTAAAGGCCACACTATATTAAATATTAAAAATAATAATAAGTGGAAATAAGGGGTGCTGCAGTTCCACAGTGCTTATTACGAGTCGCCACTGGTTGAGTGCCTCTTGCAGTATATGCAAGAGTAGGTTAGCCTGCTGATGAATCACAGCAGGTCTGTTGACTGATGTAGGTGCTTCGGTTGTTAAAGATAATTTCAGACTATTTAAGATGATAGAAGATGTCTGCATTAATGATTAGGCTATTTCCAAAGATTCAAAATTAGCGGCTTCTTTTATGTCACCACATACAGAGCAAACTGTGCTTTGGATGCAGTTCTGAATTCTCTGTGAAGCTTGTTTTCTCTTTTGTGGGCAACCATTCTTTTTTGGGTATAATTAGTCCTTAGAATTCTGCTTCAACTCCAGGTTACGGACACTTTACGGAAGGCTGCATTTATTTCATTTCTTGTGGACAGAGAAGTACCATTCGATACTCTTTGCTCATGGCTTTTAGCTGGGAGTTCATATGCAAAAAAATCATCAAGACCAGAAGAGCTCTCATATCGAGTGGTCTATTACCGTTCACTGTGTGCAGTAAAAATCTCCTCCCTCATACTAATGGTGCATGGTTTCTGGTTCTATCAGCATCTTCAATTTATTATTTTTCACCTCACTGGGTCTCGAAATTCTAGGCTTGACCTAAAGATTAAAGTTTCCACTTCGAAACTTCTTTGACGCCTCTGAGTATTATGATTCTCCAATAACACTTGTGTAAAATCCTGTGCTTGTTGTTATTTTCATGCCGGCAAAACTCATAAAGCATGATACGGAGACTATGCATCTTATCATATGAAATTCGTTACAAATGATTAAAATTAATTAAAAGATAACGCAATGGATTTTAGGGGAAAAAGGGCCAAATAATAAAGATTATAACAGTCTGTAAAAATCTGGATTACAAAATCAATCTTTATTACTTTTCTAAGCTCTTTAAGTTTAGAAAACCCAAATCCTGCATTACCTTCCAATAAACCTAATACGAGTTAAATTGCCTGAAAATTTGTATATGCTTTTCAGATCTGGACGACAACGAGATCAAGAACAGAAAAGCAAATAATGAATAATACCTGCATTACAGTACGGTGTGTATGTAATAAATGCTTCTAGGATTGTGACTGGAATTTCGTCTCTGAGAATTTAAATGTTTGGCTTGGAATATAACATGATAAAAAGCAACTGCACATTTAAAGAAAACTTTTACCGACAATATATTAACTTTGTGTTTTTGAAAAGAATAAATTTATTTTAAGTCTTTATCATCACAGTAGATGCTGCAGGCTGTAAATGAATTTCTATTTCTTCATTAATTTTTCTAAATCTAATAATTATGTGTTATTTTTAAAGTTTACTTATTATAATAAATATTTTTTGAATTATAAATATGGAATTTTGATTTAGTATAAGGCGAAAGTTCGTTCTGTAAATATTCTTCAAATTGTCTTCAGAATTTGGCAGAGAACATTATTCATCAACAACATTCAGACTGGGTATCGGTTACTAAAGCCTATTTTATAAAGGATATACGTAATTCACAATCCTCACGTTTTTGTTTGTTGAGGCGCCAGCATGAGGAAGTTTTTTTTTTCCTTTTCACGAGCCTTTGTGGCGTTTAACTTGCAGCGTGCCCTTGATGACAAGAAAGCACGTCCGGCTTCCGGAAGGTCCGGAATCTCGACCGGGGTTTATTCCTCTCTTTAATAAATACCTAATCACTCTACAGTGACATTTGATAGGTAATCTGACAATTTTCATTTAAATGTAAAATTTTCCATCCCCAAAAAATTACATTTTGAGAACCTGAACTTTTACATATCATCTCCTTCAACGCTGATTGGTTATCGTCAGCTGACTCTGCCTATACAACTTGACCAGATGTTTTTGTCTCCCATTTTGCTGAAGCCAGGATTTTAAGAACCTAGGCATTATGTACCTATCTTTCTAATATTACATTCTTCCCATTGGGAAACATGTAAAATAACTTCCATTCTTAGATTCGGAAAGGACCACATTACCCTTAATTTCTGGGAAGTGTAACTCCGGTAATAGAAACCCAGAATAATACCGCAGTATTTCACAATCGTGGCATTCGACTAAAATGTGGTGTACGATAATTCGTCTCTATTTGGATTTGGCGACTGGGTGCCTTTCCTTCTCAGAAGAAAAGGTAAGGGAATTTTCACCTTCCTTATCACATGCCTTCGTGAGGTAAACTGGTGGTGTGGTGTGGTGGTGTATTTAATTATGGCAAAGCACACTAGGGCTATCTGCCTAAGGGGAGGACTTTCTAAGGGAAACTGGCTCGTATACACGTTACACATGGGGAAAACCACGAAAACATCCATGCAGCCAGTCCGTTCGCGGTATTCGAACCTCGGACCGAACTACCAGTGTTCAGCGACTTTACCGCTCGGCCGCTGGTGGGCTGAGGTAAACTGGAAAGTGCGTTCGACTACCAATCGGAAGCTCCGGATGTTGAATCCCAGCAAGGGCATAGCTGAGTTTTCGTGTTCCGAACTTCAATACATACATTATCACTGTATAACATAGTTAGGAAGTCAGAAAATTTTACCGGAGTACTTGTAGTTATGAGTTATGAGTTATGAAAATTTTACCGGAGTACTTTTAGTTATGAGTTATGAGTTATGAAAATTTTACCGGAGTACTTGTAGTTATGAGTTATGCGTTATTTCTAGTTAGGAGTACTTTCGATATGTAGTGACTTTGTTCATTAGTTCCAACTGTTAAACCACATTAAATATCGCTTAAATCATAGAATCCTTACATCTGGCAGAACCGAATGACATTTCGATAGATGATATCTCTCGCTTTATATACACACGTAATTGGGGATGCAATTATTGGCGTACATATTTAGCTTTAGTGCGTATTTCCTATATGTTAATCTTTAAATGGTTTTCGGAAAATACAGATTACTTTTGGACCTCTAAATACGACGTTCACCTATTGAACGATTTTTTTAATGGCATTCAGAAGCAAATTTATCTCCAAATCACATAATTATACAGTGGATGGACAAAAATATGGAAACACCTTGTGAAATGCATGTTTGAAAAGAAAGATTGATTTTAATGAAATATGTAGGTGGCGCTGGCGTTTTTGACTACTGACGCCACCTCTACAACTTCGTAAATGTGCTAAACAGTTCAGTTGTTGTCGGAGTACTGTTATGTGAGGTTGTCATTGCATTATGTCAGAGTTAACAGACTTCGAACGTGGGCAAATTGTTGGAGCACGTATGGTAGGTGCTTCCGTAAGCAAGGTAGCCGAGGTGTTTAGTGATTCAAGAGGTACTGTATCGAAGATTTATTCCGCATATTTGAAAAGCTGAAAAACATCATCTGCTAAATCACAGCGCAGACGAAAGTGTGTCCTGAGTGATCGTGACAGACGATCATTAAGGGCAATTGTGACGAAAAATAAGAAGACCACAGCTGCAAAAGTTACTGCTGAAATGAATGTTGTGTTACCGAACCCTGTGAGTACCAAAACAATTAGAAGGAAGCTTCATAAACAGGGAATTGCTGGCCGTGCTGCAATTGAGAAGCCACTCATCAGTGATGCTAATGCCCGTAACAGGAAAAGATGGTGTTTAAGTCATAAAGCCTGGACTATGGAGCAGTGGAAGCGAGTAATATGGGCTGACGAGTCTTCTTTCACATTGTTTCCCACTTCTGGCCGAGTTTACGTCTGGAGAACGCCATCTCAAGCCTATAATACAGACTGCTTGTTGCCAAGAGTGAAACATGGCGGGGGTTCTGTTATGGTTTGGGCAGCCATATCGTGGTTCTCTGCTAGCCCCATGATAACTGTGTCAGGGCACATGACTGCCAACACTTATGTGAACATTTTGGCCGATCAAGTTCATCCCATGGTACAAACTTTGTTCCCCGATGGTGATGGTGTCTTCCAAGACGACAAAGCCCCTGCTCACATAGCTCACATTGTCCAGGAAAGTGCGTTCTCGTTATCCACCGCCAACATCGTTTCGCAGGAAGAATGGTATAATATTCCCTTGGCAAACATACAGGAACTGTATTTATTCATTCCGAGAAGACTGCACGCTGTTTTGGATGCCAACGGGTTTCCTACACCATATTAAGCAAAGAAACATGTTTTGTTAAAGGTGTTTCCATATTTTTGTCCAACCCCTGTATGTTTACTTTACTTATCACAAGATTAAATATGAAAGAATTTTGCTCGGATATCGGCAGGGTGAGGACTAAATCGAAAAGAAAGCATTTGAAAGTACACGTTAACGGAGAAAAAGAATACCATATGACTTTATTATAGGGCCTGTTAAATTATACTGCTTTTGCTGCACTTTATTTGAACTTATTTTCTCGAATTTCATTACAGGTATATTTCTAATTAAATAAATTCTGTTCTCATTTCGCAGCAAAGCAAAAATACATAAAAACTCAAACCACCTTCCTTAAAAATTGTAAAAATACAAAAAAACCTATAACGCCAAATACAAGTTATAACGTTAACAAGATCAATTTTTGCAATTAAAATTATAATTTGTACGTGAAAACAAGTAATTCGGCTAACGGGCTGGAGGACAAAATTTTCAGTGCACAAAATTAAAAGCTAACTTTTGGTTCCACTGTGCTAAAAAGGCACTGAATTTGGTGCATAAACTGACTTAATTCATATTCACGTAGGCCTCACAATTCTACTAAGATTTTCAAATATAAAAAAATGGTGGTCTTGTTAAGCCTAGCGCCACTTAAACTTTTGAATTGTTAATAATTCTACAACTACTGCATGCAGATTAACTAAAGGCATAAAAACCTTAACCGTAACATAAAAGCAACGTAATTCAGTCACTTTTAAAATAAAAAAATGATCAGTTTGCCAACATAAGAATAAAAAATAGAGCTTACCGAGTCGCGTAAGAGGGTGGGTATATAATATATATATATATATATATATATATATGTTTTGTGCGGCCGATTGCTAAAATAAGGGAGGTGCACAACAATATGTTACAGTAGCCCTTTATATAATATTTCAGCGTTCGACGACCAATCATTTTTGAGTTATATGCGAGATACATACGTACGTACGTAGAGAAATCACGAAACAAAATCCCTCCTGAATCCATTTTAGAATCCGTTTTGTTAAAAACATTTTTCTATTTTGTCCCGTACATACAGATGTCACGCAAAAAACCGTCTAAATGGATTCGAGAGGGGTAAAAATGGAGATTTTCTTTGAAATATGATATTCCAAGTTTTCCATGATTACAATACTTCGGTTACTTCGTACGAGAGAGTAATAACCGTTCTCAAAATTGCAAGTTATTTTACTGGAAAAAGGACAGTTATTTATTGCACTAATTATTTTTAAAGCTCATTTAACCTATTTTTAAAGTTGCTTCTAGATGAGCAGAATTAGTAAATTCTTATATTTTGCACATATCGATCGTAACGACATCAAATCAAAGATTTGAGAAATTTACAGAAGTCGCTAAATTTGTTGCTAAAATCCCAAATTTGTTTAAGGCGAAACCGACCAGAATCATTTCGAAACATTAAATTACTATACGCACAACACTTTAAAAACTAAAGTACAATAAATTATATACATAAATACGCAGCAATTACGCGCCAATTTACAATGCTTAGAAAAATTAAACAAATTTATACAGTTTTATAAAAATACAAAATATAAAAGGTTTATGCATGCATTTCCTAATAATACGAAACAAATACGAAACGTATTTACATTAATTTTCAAATAAATGAGTATAGGCATATAATTTCAACAATACATAGATTAGTAAACCAGTATTCCATAGAGAGAATGGAGATATCTTCCAGGTGATAGAAATTATCTTCAGTGCTATAGTAACGAATAAACGTCTGCAAACTATCTACAGGTTGCCCAAAATTTACAGACCACATTTCTTAAGAATTTTAAGCAAATATAACCCTCGTGAGATGATTAAAATTATCACTAAACATAAAGACTGCTCTTTTAATTTTTCTAGTATTCATCTGTAAAGTTGACTATATTATATCTGAATTTTGAAATAAAATAACCTGATCGATTTTCTTGCAGTCTGTACTGTAACCAGAAATTATTCTGTTTGATGAATTCTCAAACTGTAAATTAAAAAGAAACTTTTGAAGGTACATATTGTGAAAACCCTTTGGATTAATTTAAGAGATTCAGGATGATGCACTTAAAGAAATGTTGGCCATACTGATCACTATTGCTTTAAATGTATCTTTGCTAAGATTTTGCAATTGGCGGATGTAAACTGTAATTCTTGATGTGGAAACACAGTTAAGAACGCTTTCCAGGAAACAATGTCAGCATTACAAATTTCCTCAAAGATATTCATGACTGTTAGTTTTCATGGATCTGAGCATTAAGTCTTAAGGTTTGTTACTGTGTTCATATTTTAGTTTGTATTAATAAATGTTTCTTGATTAGCTAATCCCGAGCCAAGATTAGAAATGTGTAAAATTGTAATAAAATACTGCTAGCTGTAAGTGTAATGTAAGGGGAGTTGGTCCACCAGTAAATGATCAATTCCTCTTTCTGGCGACGAAAAACATATATAAGAAAAGTGTATGGCGGGATAATGTTTACTAATATGAGCTGATCAATGTTTATTAATATTTAACAATGTTTATTGTATAAATTGAAGTTTTTAAATATTTTATTGACATTACTACATAAAGTCGCCGATAATGGTACAACTGATGCCAAACGGAATATCGTCGCTTTTACGCCTCATTTTTAAAACAAGTCGCAGCCATTTCTTATTAGATTGATTGGTTCTTTCAAATACTGGCATACAATTACATGGACATTTTACCAGATAGTAAAATTTTATTCCCTAAGGCCATTCGCGGTAATTAAGTCAATCAGAATGCAATCACACCGCTCATCCGAAGGCGAAAATGTTGGAAAAGGCGAAGTCAAGGGTTAAATTCCTCAATTCTAATGAGAATACACTAGCGAAGTAAAGCACTGCGGTTTTACATAATTTCCGAGTAAGCTACTCGTACGAATTGAAATAATTCTTGCATTTAAACTTGTATCCCAAATTAAAATTTAACTTGAAATTAATGTAGATAATTACTGAGAGAATTAGATTTTTGTAACGTAGTTTACGTGACATGAGATCACTCGAGATCATGTGATATGAACTGGCGAATCAGCTTGTTGAACCATGAAAGCATAATAAATTCTTAAATTACTGCCTTTTTACAAATTTATTGTATTTATTTATTGGCTTTTTACAAAATTTTACAGGCTATTAAAATGTTTATGCCTTCAAAATAAAAAATTTTTAGAACTAACATTTGTTAACATTTTTTATGTGTGTACTGTATTTGTAGTCAATACAATCTGCTTGGGGAGATTTGAGACGTCGAAACGGAAAAGCACCACTCGTAGTATTATTTACATAAATTAAAAATGAGAACTTAAAAATCATTTATATGAAAATAGTATTTTCAACATCACAAATGTCAAAACGTTAATATGAAAGAATGGTTGCTAATAGACGCACCTCAAACGCGACACAAATAAATGTTACTAAATGAAAAAAAACAAAGAAACAATGATCAGATAGACTTGTTCGACTCCGGATTATAGCGCTTCTGACACCTTGCGGGATTAGAAAAACGGCTGCCAATCAGCATCTCTATGCTGATTGGCCCATTGTAGCGCAGCGGCGTACCGTTAAATATCCGTTTGCAGCGAGTTATTGATGTACGGTGCCACAAAAGACGGAACCATAGTACAGAAACCCATACTTATTATGATGCACGATACTAAATCGTTCTGGTCGACGAGGCATTTTGAGTAAACACAGCAGATTTTTAATGATCCATAAGGGCGCTTCAGCATACGCCGTAGGATCAATTCTAATCATATTTTGCGCTACTAAAAATATTCGCGTAAGTCCTCGCGTAGATCGATGTGTTATTACGTTAAAAAAAAGCCTCTAGAAATTCGGCGACCTGCAAACCGAACTTAAAAAGTTTGAAAAGTTATAAATAATTAGTTTGTGGAACACAGAGTGCACTATTAATTATTTATGGAACCCGGAATATTAATTATTATTAACCAGAATATTAATTAGAATTTAATTATTTATGAAACCCAGAATTTAAGGTACTATTCCGTTTCAGGGAACGTAAAAAGTTGCAGCGAAAATATATGCGCAAAAGCGCCAAATCTAGTAAACGCGCTCATTTAACCACACGCCAAATCTAGCGAATGTGCCGATGTGCGTAAATTTAGACAGTTCTATAAGTCGCCACTGAAATACTAGTTTAATTTTTTAATTATTTTCTAATAAGCTTGGATTTAACAATTGGAAATTCCCGATGATAAAGTCTTAATAGAATTTTTTCAAACACAGGCATCATTCATGATAGAAATTATGTTGAACGCCCAGAGATGAAAAGCTTTAGCGGTAACCAGGAAGGCGTGCAGGAAAGAAACATGTATCATGCGTGAGGATGTGCGCAAACGTTATTGCTCGCAGGGATTGAAAACGGTACAAACAGTATTCGCCTCGCCGTAGAAGAATATATTTGGTGTTTTCCGCCCCTAGTTTAGGAGGATGACGCGAATCGAATGAATGTTTCTTCCGCTGTCCAAACGCAAACTTATTGAACACATTCTGCAAGGAAGAATCTTTAACTGACGCTAAGAAAGTCGATGAACTGCAAACTGCCAGATTAACATTTTACTGTAATACAACTACAGTTTTGTCGACCCCGAAAGTGAGGTCATAAACAAAACGTTAAGCGTCTATTAGGCAGGCCTAAATGGATGAAATACAAGTCGCACTGCGACAATATTCGATTATTTTGTCCGAGTTTATGTCAGACGTTCCACAAAAAACTGAAATATTTCTCTGGTATGTTGCAACAAACAAATTAACCTACCGTGTAATTTCAGTTATGTTTAAGCTTTTGTTTATAAATTATAATAACAAAAAATGTATTTGCATGAAATTAACTTTTCATCTAAACTAAAACAAATCTTAGATAGTTATTTACTGCGCGTTAGGTCAGCATTGCATAACAGTAGTTTGGCGATTTTTTACGGCCCTTATAACGGAATAGTACCAAATTTTATTTTTTAATGTATCATATAATCCTTTTTAATATATCGTATAATTTTAGTTATTTAATAATTTAAATTTGTATTTTAAGTTCGTGAAGTGTGCTTGAGAATTTTGGTTTGTAAATAATGTTTGTCAACCTACGATAAATATTAATAGTTTGTGAATTTTTTTTAATGTTGCGAAAACTGCCAACTTGCATCTGATCAATAACTTATCTTTTCATCTACACAAAATAGCCAATTTGCGTCTGAGTAGTTGCCTTAATACATAAGTACCAAACGTTATGCTTAAAAAAGGGGCTGTAAATATCTTCATATTTCGAGATGTTAATTTCCTGTTAGGAAAACAGTACTAAATATAAATCCTATAAATACCATATTTCTGGATTCAATGATTTCGATTCTAACGTACGTTTCTTAATTTCAGGAATTCCCCTTCCCCCTCAAAAAAGACAGATCCTAAGAAAATAAAATGAAATAAAAAAAAATGTTAAAATGTCAAGGAGCAAATTGTTTTTGATAAGACTTTCATAATGAGAAAAGCAATGTTCCTGTTTATATTAGTTCCTGTTTATATTAGTTCCTGTTTATATTAGTACTTGGGGAAAATTTTATTCGGAAAAAATTATTTGGAAATAATTAGTGATTTGAAAAATTCATAGGTTCTAAAATGCATTTTAGTGACGTTTACATGAGAAAAATGCTACGTTATAAATACAGTACTGCTATAAAATGAGTCCTTTGTAATACAGTGATCAGAGATAATGCGCTGAAACAGTACTTTTTGTATGTAATGTCAATATATTCACTTCATTTTAATAAAAACAGAAAACAAATTTAAAATCAAGAATTAAAATATCATATTATACTTATGCTTTACGCACAATGTAAGTAAAACATAAAAAATAAATAAAAATTAATAACAATTTTATAATAATAAAACAGAAGTAATACTTTTATTAATGGCATGTAAGATTATGTACAAAATGATTCATATGCGAATAAGTTATATACAGTTCATAGTGCACATAATAGTCACTATTCTTCGTTTGAACTGTAGTTCCACTGTGATGAATTGACACCAATAGGAATGCAGCGATGAACGTATGCAGAGATAGATATGTCATCACTGGATCTCGTACAGCGACTGCCATTTGGACATTTGCATCTGGAAAAAAGAATATACGTATTTCTAAGATTCAAGAAAAGTGAATAACACAAGTTCAGTCTTTAAATGTTGAACGAAAGTAAACACTTATTTCAAGTTGCTTTCATATGAGACTTCTGCGTTTTAACGCCAAATACCATTTGGCATTTATTTTGGTCTACTTCTTGGCGTCAGGTGTTCAGCTCCTTTTCCGACAATAACTGTCTTTGTCGAAGAAGCACATTTTACATCTAATAATTGTTTGTAACTGCAATATATATCAAGATTTGGCATATGCCAAGTGGTTATTCCATTTCTTCAAGGAAGGGGCATTTTTCACAAAGATAGACTTTGTTCATCTACAGGAAACTAAAATGTGGGAGGAAGCCGGAAAGGACAAGCTGCCCGAATAACAAACGTCGTTTGCAGGATATCGCAAACCGTTTCTTTCCTTACTGCCATATGATTCATTTATGTACGGTGACAACAGTGAACATCTACTGAGTTTCACTAACTACAACTTCAAATGAACAGCAACCCAGTAACTTATTTGAATAATTACATACAAGAGGTACAGAGTGGCTCAAGGTAAATTTAACCCAAAGCAAGTAAAGAACACATCAGTTATAAGGCAATATTAAACAAACAAACGAAAGGCAAAATTCTAGTCTGTCAGTGTCTACATGTACTACTAGAAATGCTGACTGTCATGGTACAGGCACAGTTGGGCCCCTTGGATGTTGGTGATGTTACTGCATATAATCTGCTCCATTGCGTCAAAAGTTCATGGGTTGTTCTAGTAAAACAAAAGTTCCCTTTAGCCTGCGCCTCAAACAAAAGTTACGAATGGTGTCTTGAAGAATTCATATATCCTTCAAGACACTACTGTTTCAAAACCGAGTGCGCTATTTCCAAAGAGAAATATACTATGGATGCTGTTGCGCCCTAACCCTGTCGTCGAATACTGTAATGCTTTTCGGTTTCTCCTTTGCTATGTCCGGTTTGTTTTAATTTGAGCCAAATTGTATGCGTCTCGGCCTAACGTTAAAAATCGATGTATGCAACCAAATTGGAAAAATTAACAAAAACTTATTTATGGAAAGGAAAAATAATGTAGCCTGCATTCTTTCCCTAGGGGGGGTTTTGAGGGGTTTATGTTATTTCCTTGGTAGTTTTTCCGATTGTTTCATGCAAACTTCCGAAATATATAAGAAATGTCATGGTTTGCATCTATTGTATTTTCTGATTGCTGGAATGAATATAGAATGAGTATTTTACAGTAATTGTATTGCTAACAAAAATTTAGTAAAACAGGGAGAAAACTTCAGCAAATGAAACAAAGGTTTTGAAGGTTAACATAAGACACTGCCCTGAGTACTTCCTGCAAGAAAACGTTATCAATAAAATAATGTAATGCAAATATGCCTTCGCTCTTAACTAATCTAAATTACTTCTCTCTCACTGAAATTTACGTTGAAATATAATAAACAATTAAGAAACGATTTTGTACAATAAGCTTTTTTTAAAAAAATGTATATGATAATTAATGTATTAAAAGCAGAAAAATAATGTATTTCATAGTTTAATAAGAATAATACAAGTAGATTACGAAATTCTTATTTAGAGAATTTTGTATCGCGAATAATGAAAGCGTTGAGCGCCCACAATAAATTAAAAAGGAATGACTTATACCTTTCAAAATGCAATTAAATTAATAGATTTCATTATTTAAGTATATTTTGATATTTATGATAGAAAACTATAAATGAATTTCATAAATACAGTTATTTAATGTGTTATTCCCATTTAAACTGTACATTTTGTCTTCTCCTTTCAATGTATTAAATAGTGTATCTATTTTAAATAAAAGCTTATTGTATGAAAACCTTTTTTAAATTTGTATTTTACTTCCTGTTTTTTAGACTCAATTGCACGTTTTCAATGATGCATTTTTTAGTCATTATTAAAACACAAACACTAAATTAAATGAAAATTATGAAGTAAAGAAAAATAACTGAACGCCCTTCAGGGAATGAGAAAATTGCTTTCAATATTCAGTTTCGGAAATTGGATGCAATAAAATATTGCAACGAGCAATTTACTTCGGTCTGCCTCAGACAACACACACACACACACAAATAAATAAATAAATAAATAAAAAACATAGATAATCGCTCATTTAATATATTTTTTAATCATTCTTATTTTTAAAGAAAGCAAAACGTTTGTTTCACAATTTGTGAAAATTTGGAAACTATATATCTCATGCATTTTCAGATATTGAAATTTTTAAAGTCGTAAATGTCAAATAGTCTAAAACTCTAAGGATCTTCAAAAATTTAGAAATTACAATTTGCATGAAAGTTTCATTGAAAAGCTTTTTTTTTTGCCCTATTCAATGATGCAAGCAGTAAACTTCTGAGATGCTTAGTTTATTCGTTACACGAAACTATGTGCAAAATATCGTTTAAACATTAAGTAAATAGATTCTCTAAATAGAATTCTGAAAAAATTGTTTCATCACATTGCATTGTCATTAACAAACAGTGTGTGCACAAGGTTTGAATTGGACAGTTTATCAGGAAATATCTTAATAATCGATGACGAAATTCCACCCACAATGCAACACCATGAGTGAACTAAATAAAAGCTTGTAAAATGAAAGCTTCTCTGGACAAAATTACAGAAAATTATTTTAAATATAATTTTTTAAAAACAATATTTTGCAAGGCCAAACTTGATGCGAATATTTGCTTGATCCAAGGGTATCAGACGAAAAAATTCTTAGACCTAGGCAAAGAGGCAAATCTCGACACAATGGCCCGTTAGCGGCAAAGGCACTAAACGTTGGTAGTTCCACTTGGATAAGATTCCAGGTCTAAGGGGCTGGTTAATATTTTCTTAGACCCAAGCGGTTGGCTGCGCATTCGATCCTAGCTTAAGGGCTCGCTGCATGAGCGTTTGCATCATGTGTAACGTGAATACGAGTCAGTTTACCTCAGAAAATCCTCCACGAAAGACATCCTTTCCCTTAGGATCATAACCTTATCTACTTAAATCAAATAAACAAAATCAAGCCAATCTTGACTGAAAAGATTGCCTTTGGTAACTAAAATCGTTTTGTTTATTTCGTTTCGCCTATATTGCATTTTTTTTTATTTTATTTTTATTATTATTATTATTATTATTATTATTATTATTTGAAGTTCAGGTAAATGAAGATTACTTAAAGTGATTTTACTGCAAAACTGATGAACAATTTTAGGTAAAAATAAAAAATTAATAAAAAATTTGAACATTTTGGAAATACTGCACTACACAGAATAGCTAAAATGCTGCTTGTCGTTTAGAAGTAAATAATGTTTGATAACTAAATCACAATGCGAATTGAAAATATACAGATCTAATTATATTCCTTGAAATACATAATAATATTAGTGTGCCTGTGTACTTTTTAATGTGTTATATCTTTATTAATAGTATGTGCCGCAGTATTTCCCTTCCCGGGCTTCAAGTGGTAAAATTAGTAGAAAAGGTGCTGGATATGCGAGTTAATTCGTACATACGGTGATGGACATAAATGAGAACACACTTTGTAATTTCTCAAAAAATGGGAAAAATTGTAAAATTCATAATTTTTATGAAAACGTATATCATTTACAGCATCTTTGGAATATCATAAATATAAATACAAAATGTTAAGTTAAAATCAATGAACTTACAACAATAAATAGAACATTTCAACCCATCAAAATAAAAGACAAAAGTGAAAGGACAATGATGAAAATATCCGAATAAGGTTGTAGTCAATATTTTTGAGGTGAATCTTGTGTTTTTATAACAGCTGAGCATATTTTTCATGGAATTCACCAATATTTTCGTTCTTTCAGAAGAAAATGTGCCCCATTCTTCTAGGAGAAGCCTTTTCATGGTACGCATTCATATATCGTGGTCACGTTCTTTCTGTAAATGCTCGACGGGACTTGGGACAGGGAATTGAGCTAGATGACTGGGAGTGTGAGACGTATAATACAGCAATCAGGCAGATAGTATGTGTCGTATGTTTGCAATCATTGTGGAAGTAGAAGCTGTTGCATAAATGAAGTTTACGGCGCTTTACTGAAGATTACGTTTAAGGACATTCAAAAAGAAATATCGACCCACTATGAATGGATTAATGAACTCAAGATTGCCGATGCATGTACCTTACATGCGGCCCCAGACCATCGCGCATTTGTCCCGTGTTTTACTTTTGCTTAAATATACTTTTCTCGATAGTCAATTTTCAATCGTCTCCAAAGCCCACCAGCGGCCGAGCAGCCGCTGAACACTGGTAGTTCGGTCCGAGGTTCGAATCCCGCGAACGGGCTGGCTGCATGGGTGTTTTCGTGGTTTTCCCCCATGTGTAACGTGTATACGAGCCAGTTTCCCTTAGAAAGTCCTCCACGAAGGCATCCCTCCCCTTAGGCAGATAGCCCTTGAGGCTTTGCCGTAATTAAATAACCTAACCTAACCTAACCTAAAGATCGTCTCCAAACTAAATTACTTCCATCGCGACGAATTAACAAGAATTTACTGTTATCGGAAAACAATATATTCGACCAGGTTACACTATTTTTATTAAAGTGCTTCTTTACATAAAAGTGTATTCCTTTTCTTTTAATTAGTTTTGCTAATATATTATTTTCTTCTGGTTACTCTGGATTTGCAGTCAGTCAAATGAAAAATGCTGAGGACAGTTTTTATATGAATAATTTCGATAAGTCTTCTTTCCGTTACCATATCAATCCCTTTGTTACTATAGCATTTGAAGAAATTTTAGGATTCACCTTAAGAATATTGACAACTTTCCTCTCTTCTTTAAGATTAATATTAATACTTTTTTGGGCTTCCACTTCTTGGTGCACTTACCACACACTACCAAACGATTTGAAATTTTTTGTGATAAATCTTACTGTGTATTGACTCCTGTTCACTATTTTACCAATTTCTATCAGTGGTTTATTCTGATTATGTAAATGGATAATTATTTTTCTTTCTTTAATCGCAGTTTCCACACGCTTACTTGCCATTTCAAAAGTTCGACGGACGAAGCAGAAACAGACGAGCTTCAAACGTCACTTTCACGTTATCACTCTGATTGGTGTATACAGAATGACACAATATTAAGTTTTAACTTGAATTTGAATTTAAAGTTTTGTAATTAGCTTTAAAATATTCTAAAGATTATACAAATAACATATTTTGATAAAATAATGAATTTTACAATTTCTGCCCATTCTTAAAGGAAATGTAAATATGACTTCAATTATGTCATCAATATATATATATATATATATATATATATGTAAAATATAAAAAATACGATGGCTTTGCTCTACCCGAACAGGCAAGTTCTAATTAACTTTCCGCAATTTCAGGATTTACCCCTAGACCAGTACTTTCGAGAATATTCTGGCATGTTATGTAACCGCTACTATAAATGCAGAGTTCACGCCATTTTTAGACAGACCGCTTTCTCCTTCTACTGCTATAAGACCTTTGCTGTAGCTCTTCCCATCTTACTTCCTTTGTTTGAACAATATGACGCAGTAAATTTAATCTTATTTAGTTTAAATTACTATCGCATATGTAATCTTGGAGAATCTAAAACAATAATGATTTGCCATTTGAATTGAATAAAGATGTGAATCAAAACAGCTAACTTCTTCTCTGTCGTCATTAAATGCCTTGTTTGCCACAACAATTTCCGGATTCTGATGCCAAGCTCCATTCAGCCTCTGCCTGACTGCCACAATATGACAAATATGTCATAATAAAAGCAAGGAAAAGACGGAGCACTGTTGATGTGTAGTTATCCTATATTGAAGAGCAAGTATTCTGATTGCGTCGTAAACGAATGTGTTGACTTCGTAAATAGAACTTGGCAGTCGAGGCGATTTTAATTCCATTTTTATTTCCAATTGACATTATGTGGCCGTAGATCACTTGGCACCCTAATCGTGCCTGTTCAAGAACATTTACATTATTGATATTATTACAATAGAAAGCAGCGTAGCGAAATTGCGTCCAAGCACAGCACAGACAGAAGGTGAGTGCGTAGTTATGAAAGATGGAAGCACGCGAAGAGAAAAGTTTTGGTTTACAATGGTAGTTTCAGTTCCCAATTGTTACGTCATCAGAGCTGCGCAGGCCATAGAATGGTCTAGAAATGACGCAATCCAGAGAAGTTATTGCGATTTTTAGAATAGAAAGGGAGAATTAATGCTTTACCGTTAGTTTAAATTATAATTTTGTTTCACATATTTTTTATCTTACACATATATATATTGGAAAAAAATTACGAGTTCAAAAATGGAAGATCTTCGTTGTTAGCATAACTCGTATGGCGCCAATGCATAAGAAACACAGACCGTTTTGAAACCATATTTGTAGCATTTTCCTTTAAACCCCCAAGCTAGTGCAAGAAGAGCGCTTGAACTTGTATGTAAGAAAACAATGTGACTGAGAAACTAAACTCTAGAAATAAATTTATATATAATTTTATTACATTTTATTTGTTTCTACACGTTTTTGTTACTTGCTTTCTTTGCTTGACGATTTTTTTCACGCCGTGTAGTTTGTGTTTGCCGATTTTCGTTCATGATGGCCGCTGTACACAAATGTATCGTTTTCTCTTTTTCTTTACTCAAATTATTTTTTTATTAAGGGAATAATTATATTAATAGAAAAATACATAATCAATATTTATAAAGCAATTCGCACTTTCTTTAATACAGATATGTCAATTTTATTTTCGAAAGATGTTAGAAAAAATACTGGAATGTAAAATATAACTTACGGACTAGCTATAAAATATTCAATTGTCCTTGTAACTGGCCTGTATACTTCCCATCCACAAGGCGTAGATTTAGAACAGATTTCTCCTGCATCTCTCTGTAAAATGAAATCTTGTTTACACGATATATGAATAAAATATTAAGAAATTGCTGAAGCACATGGTAAACCTTCGTCGGGTAGTTTTGTTCATAAATATTAAGTTATTTATGTAGAGTTAAAATACCATTTAATAGTTAATTTTATAGTAAAAGAAACAAAAACTAAAAAATACCATTCTCATTAGTAGGACAAATTATAAAATAATCAGAATATTTTCATCAATGTAAACAACAGCATTACTATCAGTTGTAGGTAGCACACTTCACTCTCTTCTTTCTCAGAGTTATCAGATTTTTTTAACGAGGATTTGTATATGATGAAAACAATGAATGAAGAGTAAGAAATATAAGAAAAATTTACTTTCATTAGAAGCGGAATCAACTATAAATACAAATATGTCACAGTAGAGGATATATGAAAATATCACAGTAATGAATATATTAGAGTGGCGAATTTAGCAAATTAAAATTGTGTGAAATTTCCCTAAAACTGTTACATTAAATGTAATTTTTTGTTGAATATTTCTGTTGAATAGAACAAGGCATAGACCTACAGAACAAGGCATGAAAAAAAAAAAGAATGAATTTCCACGAATTCATATTTTTACCAATATGCAGTTAAAGTAAATTGTCTATTTAAACATTTTAAAAGGTCACAAATGGAAAAGTTACTTCCTATAAATTAGAAAAGCAATCTAAAAAGCACGATTTCGTGTATTAACTTTTATTCTAAATCAATAAATTACATTTCAGTTAAACCCTTTCATATTTTAATTCTGCTCGTAAAAAACATCATATCCAGTCCATAGAAGTTTTTTACTCTATTATTGTGAATACCATAGAAGTTTTTTACTCTATTATTGTGAATACCATAGAAGTTTTTTACTCTATTATTGTGAATACCCCGTAAGAGGAGTCTTGTATATTTTGTATTGTTATTACACGCATACCAAAGGTTTCTCTCAGCAAATTATTTTGGTTTAATATAAACATAATGAGAGTATATGGAGATTCGAAAATCCTCATGTCACAAAGAAAATGAAGCGGGAAGCCCGCAGGTCAATGTTTGGTATGGAATGCTGCATGACAAGATTTTAGGGCAATTTTTTTCAATAAATAAACAATAACAGCCAGAGTCTACCTTTATACATTGATAAATTACATTTGCCTACAGTTGGGGGTCCATCACCACAGGTCATTTTTCGCATGCCGAAGTTGTGCCGCTTGTCACAAAAACTCTGGATCTAGCTTGTGAAAGTGTGACTACTACCAAAGACATGAGCTTTTTCATTCCCAGATAAGCTGTTAAAGTTGTTTAGGGACTTTGTAGACACCCTGTATTACTTGTAACAGAGCAGGTGTGTCATTCATTGAAACACTTGCCACTAATATCCATTTTAAAATTTCTACAGTTTTTTAAAGCTTTCTGATGTATGTGACGTTTGGATCACCTGGTACTTATTAAAACATACAAATAAAATTTAGCAATAAGTACATAAGTTAAATATTTCATAAATTGAAACTTCATTTTCTCCAAATGATTTACAAAAACGTATTTGAGAAACACCTCAATTGTTTTTTAAATTTCCAATACTCTTTTTAAATTTTAAGTAAGTGAAGAGGGAAGATAATTATTTAGAAAATTAAACAATAAACGCCTGTTAAGAAATTAAGAAAAAAATTTTAAAAATCATTCCAGAAAATTCAGAATGTGGCAATTACGGCAGTCGGGGGTATATTTTATGATCTAGGTCAGACAAAATTACAACAATCGCTTTTTTTAATAAACACTTCTACATGTCAAACACTATGTTAGGTATAGATAGTAGCACCAAGACCATTAGTTATATACCCTTAGTCATCAAGTATATCCTCTCATATTCTAGAAGACAGACCTGCTCGATACAGCGGTTAGCGACGCTAGCTGCCATAGCGAAGGATCCGGGTTCGAATTTTGGAGAGGGTATGACTATTTATAAGCGTACAATTCCTATGCAGCATGAGAGTATTTAAAAAACTGGATTACCAAAAGACCTCTCGAGGGATTTATGGTAGGGAAAGAGGGGTGGCAGACCCTCGTATAGTTCCCCAGGATGTTCTTCATCAATACTGGGACAGAGCTGCACAGTTAGTGCGGTAGGACTGTATATGACTTAGGGTGAAACTCTAGTATCCCGTCCACTTGGGCCTGTACCTCTGGAGCTTTAAACCCCAAGCATTAATTTCAAAGCCCTACTGGGTGCTTAATAAACTAACCTTTCCAAATTTTGAAGTAAACCATTTAACGATATTTTAGAGTATGCTTCGAAAGACTGATTCACAAGATGGAAAAAATTACGAAGATCCAAGTTCGTGAATCTTAAATTTCGTGATTCGAAATTTCCAGTACGCTATCCCCATTAACTAATCATAAAAATAAAACCGCAATTAAATTTTCTGAAAGAACTCTTTAAAAATGTGGGATCCAGTTTTGAATAAGAGTGTTTGGTACGTCTGCTTCAGTCACAACATCAGCAGAAATTCAATATAGCAGCATCATTACGATCAGCAGACATATTCAATAACTTCTTAAGTATGTTCATCTTTTTGATTCAAATAAAAAATTAATATTGTTTTTGAGTTCCGCAGCAGGAAAATAATAAATATATGAATTTAAAAACTCTTGAATTCAATGACTGAAAGCCATTAATGAGAGAATAAAAAATGCTGGTAAAATATCAAAACGGCCTGGACATAATAAATCAGGCTATAGTATTAAAGGGAATTAAAACCTTTCACCGATTTTTATGCAATTAGACATCATTAACAGTTCTTTGTCAATACTGCATGTTAGTAAAATTTGAATCTGTCACTGCATTAGATATTAAGTTGTACAGAATTGCAACGCTCATATCTCTACGATTTGAATTCTTTATAACAAGTTATTGGGAATCTCTGAGGATGCTTTTTGTTTAATATTAAAAATCCTACAACTCATTTCTTGAATGGATATCAATTAGATATAAGAATGCCCACTTTTCTTACACACCTAACTAGATAACTTGCAATGAAGATGCCACATCACCAGATGCCTTAGTGCTCCAAAGAAAGATATTCTGTTCAAGCAGAAAGTCTAACAAACAGTAAATAAATTCCATAATTTAAACTGAAAAGTAAGGGATTATACACTTTCTACTCTAAAATATTTTCCGATGAGATATTATATTTCTAGATTCTTCTTCAAGAAAGATTTCTTGCTCTTTTTCTTTTCAGATATTCATCATATTATTTGAATATGGCTAAAACAGCGAAATTTGCATTTTTGGAAACATTCTCATTGCTTGATTTAAAAAAAAATAAATCATGATTTTTATATAGGGAAGAATTCCGCTATATGGTGAAGTTTCTTTGTGTTAGAAGCAGTATAAACTGGCAATTATTCTTTGAACTCTATTTGCAAAGCTGGTAATTCTGTAACTAAGCCTCGTATCCTGGCCACTGTGGCTCTGTTAGATATCCAAACATAATTAACTATACAATTAATAAAATAAAGTTTGAATATGTGTACCTCACTTTAACAGAAAATCTGAGTTTTTGACTATTATGCTTTTGAGCTGCTACGTACGAACATAGAACAACTACGCAAGACTCGACAACTTATCTTTCTCGTTAACATAAAGTACCAACGTTTATCTAATTTTTGATTGGTAAGATAAAAAGATTATTCAAACTCTAATAGCCTGGAATTATTAAAAACAAATGTAAATTTTCTTGTGTTTATTTATTAATACCAGTATGAAATTAAATGAATTTCAACTAATCGTATTTTAAAAATATAAAGGTGCTTTTAATTAAGATATACTAAATACACTACTTTCGAAGGGAGCAAAAGTAAGACGGTCCGTAGAGCATTCTAATTTATAAAAGTTTTCCCCACTCAACGTTTGAGAAACGCTATTTTTTACACAGTTAGAATTCTAATCGAATCTAGGAAATGATTACTTAAATTAATTTTAAAATAATATAGTAAATATAATAATTTAGCAATAGCAAAACTTGATAGAAACAAATATAAAAGTAATGAGCAGATAAAAAGAACTAACCTTAGCATAACGAGCTTCTCCACAGAAGCATAGTAAACAAACTGCAACAACACAGCAGAAAACTAGAACGGAAGAATTCATGATGCAAGCGGAAAAAAACTTACGATCGAAACTTATTTCTTGACTTTATATAACAACCGTTTACTATGGTGTGTGTACAAACACGGCGTGATAAGGAGGTTGCTAGAAAGATTTATCAACCTATCACCGTTAAGACTGCCGATATGTCGGAGATAACGAATTCAAACCTACGATAAATAAACATACGTACTATGCAGAAAAGAACCTTTTCAGCGTGGAATAGTGTAACAATGCAAACGTAAAGAGTTCATGCGCATTATAAGAGAAGTAGAACATCCCCTCCCCCTTCGGAAAATACTTTGCACTTTAATTTCGTTTTGAAAAGTCTGCCTAAATATGCTATACCGTAATTTAAAACATTTTCAGTTACTATTATCTGTACTGAAGTCTTTAGCGAAAAAAATGATAGTAAATAACCTTCAGAAGATGCAAACCCAAACTGTGGTGCAAGATTATTAATTTCAAAATTGATTTTTATTTCTTTATCTTTCTAGTAGCTTATTTAAAGATGATGTATATTTATGACACTTGAAAATTTATTTTTAAAATAACACATCTACTGTTTGCATAGATAATGACTCCAAATTTTATTGACTAAATTATTGGTCAGCTTTTTCTTTTCTGTTAAGAATGAGAATTGATTGATAAATTCCCGTTAATCGTTCATGCATATTAATTTTATTCTTAGAGATGATATGATTCTTATTGCAGTAGCATTTGTATGAAATCAGGGTAGTCAAAACATTCCATTGTCCAGACTAATGTTATTTCCTTAGAAACGAAATCAGGATCTATTATCTGTAAATATTGCGAAAACATTTTGTTTCTCAAGTCTTATCTGAAATGACTTATAAACAAAGCAAGTTATTGATTTGATTCTGGATATTCTTGTTTGATCCAATCCAAGGAAACACGTTGTCAAGTTATGACATCTAGTGAGATTGAAGAGGAGAGAGACAGTTCTGTCATGCTGTTCGATGATTTACCGCTAAATAGCGATCATAATAACTGAGTAAAATACTATAACAACCTATTTCTGGGACAAAGAGAGAATATTACATTTTGCACACAGCCATGACTTCAACTAAGAAAATCAGACCATATATAAATTTGGTACCTTCTGTACTAGATCTCAAGTTACATTATTCAATCTAAGCCTGGATTCCTCCTGCTGCAAACTTATTGACAAAGAATGAAGAGCAAAAAATCAATTATAATTTTGAAGATGTGTAAAAAGGAATTCAGTTTGGTATTTACATATTAACGCAACCACTTTAGTAGAAGTCACCAAATTTTCAGAATGTACCAAACTGTGGCATCCATGCACATTCTTTCAGCAATGATCCTCAAAACAATCTTTCAGTCAAACAACGCCACCTTTTCATATAGTACGTTCTTTTTTGTTGTATTCCAAGATCCAACGACCTTTTTTTAAACAGTTGCAATACATTTTATCTTAAACTTAGTTTTATAACATGAGCTTGTGAAATTTCCCAGAAACAGAAGAGACTGCAGTAAAATTTCTTCAAGGATACAGGATTTTGCTGAAAATGTGTTAAAAGGAACGACGAGAAGATGCTTATCATCGATAGCCGTTGTTGTCGGCACGAAGCCAAGTCTCTGCAACTCTCTGATTTTTTTAAAGCGAAAACAGTACTTCGGGAGAAGAATAACACAAAAATGTTTCAGAAAGATTTGAAAAAGAATGTAAGTATTTAATTTTTTTAATGTATCACGTAATCCTTGCATAATTACTCAAATTTGTATTTTAAATTGCTAAAGTATATTTTCTTTTCATACGTTGATAATATTTACTGACTTAACTATAAATATCGATAGTTTCAGAATCTTTCTAAATAAAGACGCGAAAACTACTAACATACATCTGATAAGTAACTTTTACCTTTTCATCTAGGCCCACCAGCGGCCGAGCGGTAAAGTCGCTGAACACTGGTAGTTCGGTCCGAGGTTCGAATCCCGCGAACGGACTGGCTGCATGGGTGTTTTCGTGGTTTTTCCCCATGTGTAACGTGTATACGAGCCAGTTTCCCTTAGAAAGTCCTCCACGAAAGGCATCCCTCCTCTTAGGCAGATAGCCCTAGTGTGCTTTGCCATAATTAAATACACCACACCTTTTCATCTATAAAAAATCGCCAGATTGCGCTAAAGTGGTTGTGCTAATACGTAAGTGACTTCAATTTCACTGTGAATACTAGCTGATAGAATTGGAGTAAAATGATGTTGATGCTTTTAAAAATGAAATATCGGAAGTTATGCCCTTTACGGATTGCAAAGGCTTCAAAATAATTTTGCATAGATCACCTCAGGGTTGCAGCATTAACGCTGGATTTTTTCCAGGTATACTGTAAACAACCACATAAAGAAATCAGTAATGCTGTTGACAGAAGTAATATATGCCGAGTACCTTGATTTTAATGCATTGTCTTAATACTCGCATTAAAGTATTCGTTCAGTTGACGTTAACTTTGCAAGTATGGCTTCATTTCGTTACTAAAGTATATACGTATGTCATGATATCAAGCTGACTAAAAACACCTGAAGTGTTAAAATATCAAGGACCTATTCTGGGCAAGGAAATAATTTTGGTGTAATAGCCATGTCGCAGTCAAAGAAATTAAGAATAATTGGAAGGATATAAATAGGATTACTTATTAAACCAAAAACGCAGCTAATGCCGAATCTCCACAAGTAATAATTTTTAAGATGATTGCAGCAATCTTACAGCTATCAGAGTTTGCTTAGGTACAGTTATATCGCCACCAATATATATATATATGTATATTCTGTTTTTGACTATAATGGTAAAGTAAAATTACAAAAAGCTGGGAATATTCCTTCTCTCACATAGTAAAAATGTTTTACTACTATATTGACAAGGAAAAATATATTGTTACATTGAATAAGCAGATCAGAGACTATTTTTAGTTTAACTTGAAGTTTCTGTTTGGCTGCTATCTGAGTGACAAAGGTGTAAAGATTACTTACTACAAATATATTATCTAACTGTACTGTATTCTAAATGAAGAAGCAATGGATGATTTCCTGTGATTATCAGTAATTTTTCATTCATGCAGACTGAATTTGGACTGTGCACTGCTTTTATCGTCTGGTTGTGCAAAGTCTAAAGTACATTATACGTAAGCAACTGATTTTTTTCTCTCGAGATTTAGTGGAAAAATATTACCCATGTACTATGTATGATAAGCTTTGTGAATATTTTTATTATGCTTGCAATAAAATTGATGATTCAGTTGAAGTATCAAAAATCACAAAGTATTAGGTTTTGTCGTTCAGACTAATGGCCTCTAATTGTAAGCAAACCGATTGCACAATCTAAAAGCAGCTGGTAGGCTTGAATTTTTTACCAATGAATTATTTTAAATAAAATTCTTTTAAATTAAGTTTTAATTATGAGTTTATTCTTTTATCAAACCATACATAAACAATAACAGTAATAACACAAACGAAATTTTCAGGTTTGTATATATTTTCTATCTGAAATCTGAAGAACTAAAGTTGGCCTACATGAAATTTCTATTGGTTATACTTTGCAATTGAAATGCGTTGGCAGCTAAATATTAAGTTTTTAGAACCGACGTTAATTTCAAGTGTTTCGTTATTTAGCGTGTAATCCAGTCATTTAACCATTAAACAATTTTAACTTAAAAAATTATTAAAAACTTTTCAAATGGTAGATAAATACGAGGGCCATCCAGGAAGTAGATTACGTTTCCGTCTGTGTCCGCTAGGGGCGGGGCTAGCGCGGCCATCTTGGGGTCAGAGCGTTGCGTAGCTCAGTCTGCATCTAGCCGTGCTAGTGAGAGGTTCGTGCTGTGCTCCGTTCAGATACTGTGACGGTTTGAAATGTCTGCGTTAATTGAAAATCCCGCGAGCTGCGAGGTGCGCTCAGTAATAAGGTTTCTGACTGCAAAAAACTGTAAACCGATAGAAATCTATCGGCAGCTTCGTGAAGTGTATGGGGACAACATTATCACTGAAGGTGGAGTGCGTCAGTGGGTCATAAGATAAGATTTCAAAATGGCCGCCGAACCAATGTTCACGACGAAGATCGAAGTGGGAGACCCAGCATAGTGACCGCCGAACTTCTCGAAAAAGGTCGATGCTAAAGTCCGTGAAAATCGAAATTTCACAATAACGGAACTTTCTTTGAGTTTTCCACAAATTTCGCGAAGTTTGTTGCACGAAATCATCAGCGAAAAGCTTGGTTACCACAAGTTTTGTGCAAGATGGATTCCAAAAATCTTGACAGAGGACCACAAAAATCAGCGAATGGCTGCAGCGTTGAACTTTTTGGACGCTTACCATAAGGATGGTGACTCTTTACTCGATCGCATCGTTACTGGTGACGAAACATGGGTGAAACATGTGAACTGTGAAACGAAATTGCAATCAATGCAGTGGGGGCACACAAGTTCTCCCCAAAAAAACCCAAGAAATGCATGCAAACAATGTCGGCAAGGAAGAGGAAGATGATGGCGACTGTTTTTTGGGACAGAAAAGAAAAAGGTGTAATTTTGGTGGACTTCCTGGAAAGAGGGCACTACAATAAACTCTCAAAAGGTATTGCCAAACTCTCCAAAAAACTCAGAAGAGCAATTCAAAACAAGCGCAGAGGAATGTTGAGCTCTAAGATCTTGTTGATTCACGACAACGCCCGGCCCCACACGGCAAATGTCATTCGTAAAGTTCTTGAATCTTTTAAGTGGGAGTTGTTTCCTCATCCGCCGTACAGTCCCGACCTGGCACCGAGCGACTTCCACCTATTCCCAGCAATGAAGAAGTGGCTGGCTATGCAGCGTTTTGATGACGACGCACAGCTGCAAGAAGAGGTAACGAAGTGGTTGAAGGCGCAGGCGGCCGAATTTTTCGACGAAGGAATTTCCAAGCTCGTACATCGCTACGATAAATGCCTTAATTTGTATGGTGACTATGTAGAAAAGTAGTATTTGAGTGTGGCTTTCATCTGTATATAATAAAATTTGTTTCCTATACTTTGTTTATTTTTTTTATTCCAAAACGTAATCTACTTTCTGGA